TTTTTTTTTTTTTTTTTTTTTCCCTTACTTTTCTTACATGTCTTCCTTCCCCACCCCCCCTCCCCTTTGATTATGCTAATTTCCTCCATCAGGTGAGGGGTGAGGTCCTGCCGATTACGTGTCAGAGTGAACCTATGACGTCTCTCGATGATCGCATCTCGATCGAGGAAATTGAGGCGTGTCATTAATGCATATCACTGCCGAGAAGCTGCATACGATTGCGACTGAGGGCATGCATCCTCACTCTAGGACTTTTTTTTTTTTTTTTTTGGACATCATTGCGGTTAGATACATCCACGTCCGGAATGAGCTACTAGTCTTCCAATTAATTGCTTGATTGTTCCTTTGTCTATAATTTCGTTATAGAAGGGAATCTCTTTGAATTGTCCCATGAGAAAAATCTCTTAAGTTTCATTAATTTAAGAAAATCAAATGTATATTTTTGGTTCTAATTATACTCAACAATCTTCTAAATCCATTTACAAATAATATTCTAAATACATTTATGAACAGGGTCACCAGCCGGTACGTACGGAGGTCCCCGGGCAGACCTCCGTACGTAAGGGCGTTCGGGGTCCCGTACGGGGTCCGAACCCGACGGTGTTCGGCCCACGCCAAAACTTATTTCGGGGCCTAAAAATACTTAGTTGTTTCTGAAATGTTTTTTGTGAGTTCTCTATGACGTGTGGTACATGCCTGTATATTTTCAAGTCATTTGGCTAAGCCAAACAAGAATTAAAAATCGCCAAAGATGGCGGTGTCAAAACGTGCTTGCTAACGTATTTTTTCACATTTTACTTTTTAGTTCGGGGTCTAAACAATTTTATTATTTTTTGAAACTTTTTTAGTGGGTTTGTATTATGTTAAGTACACATCTGTAAATTTTCAGGGCATTTAGCTATGCCAAAAAAAAAAGAAAAATCGCCAAAGATGGCGGTGTCGAAAACATGCTCCTGCACTCACTAAATTTATTTCTCTTTTTATTTTTATTTATTTTTATTTATTTTTATTATTAGTATTTGTTTTCCGTATTTTATTTTATTTCAAATTTGGTAAGGAATTCGGATGTAATGCTCAGGCAAATCTGGCCCATTTGAGGTTTGGGCGTGGTTCACGTCACACTGCTGTTCCTACCTTAATTAACTCGGACAGGCTCTGGGTGTAGATGCAAGTTGGGCGCTTCACGAAGGGCATACTCACACGGGGACCCCAAATCCCCAAAATATGCGGATTTGGGAAGGGCCCATTTGAGGTTTGGGCGTGGTTCACGTCACACTGCTGTTCCTNCCCAAAATATGCGGATTTGGGAAGGGCCCATTTGAGGTTTGGGCGTGGTTCACGTCACACTGCTGTTCCTTTTCAGATGGGACAAGGTCGCGGCCGTCTGGAGAAATGAGGATTTGGTACTTGGCTGGTCACACGGCGCCATCCACAAATTGTGCAAAAACTTTTGTGAACGAATTTTTGCAAATTTTTGAAGAAAATGCAAAAAAACAAGAAGGGCATTTGCGGTCACCTCCAGAGGTGACCGCAAAATCCCTTGCCCACGCAAAATCCCTTGCCCCACGGTTCCCAGGCCACTGACAAATCGGCACAGGAATAGTACGTTTAAACGTTTGCGAATTTGGTAGATCATTGTGACCAGCCTTTTCCCTTTTGGGGGGCATTTTGGGAATATAGGTCCCCGAGTGAGGGCCTCGCCACACCACTCTCGAAACGGGGAATTTTTTCAAGAGCTGTCAGACATTCTCAAGAGTTGGGTTCTCGAGAGTTTTGGGCCCCTCGCCACATAGCACTCTCGAAACGGGCGATGGTGTTGGACAAAGAATGCAAAACGACAGTCGTACAGCTTTGTTTTTTTCTGAATGGCCACAGGATAACTGCCTGACAGCTCCCGAAAATCGAGAGTCCTTCGAGTGCCCTCGGGAGGACGCTTATAAAGAGCGGTGCTGCAGGCTGGGCGTGTAGGAGTTTCGAGAGCTACTCTCGAAACGAGGTTCTGACAACTCTCGAAAGAGTTTTCGGGCCACGACTCTCAAGTTGCTGTGTGGCGACCGCTCCAACTCTTGAAAACCGGGTTTCAAGAGTGGTGTGGCGAGGCCCTGAGTATGCCCTAAGTTCGAGGGGTGTCCGAAGAAGATAACCCAAAAGAGAGAGGCCCTGCCTCCACAGAATAAAAGATAGGAGCAAGTACACTGAAGTCACAGGTGTAGTTCTGAATGTGCAAAAATATCACTCCATAGGCAGGTACATCGCCTCGTAGTTATTAAAAGCAAGAAAAACAGTAGGCTGCACTTGACTCATGCGGCAAGTTCCCATTCAGCAGTTTTGTCATTTTCTTTCCCATTCAGCAGTTTTGTCATTTTCTGGACATTGGGGCAGGGCCGTTCCTTAGCGCATAGGAAACGGCACCGGACAGCCCAGTCTTGGCTGAAAAGCTGCAAGGGACGGGTGGCCAAGTGGGAGGCGTATTTTCTCCCTCCGACGAGCCACCCCCGAGGTGGCCGCTGGGGCCCAGTGAAGGCCCATTTTACCCCGCACGAGCAACGGGATATTTGGAAATTTGAAGTGATAGATGGCTGTGCATGGATGTTCCACCGAGTGTGTGTGGTCCTCTCCAGTGCCCAGTTCGC